GTCTTTCTACTAGTCGATGATTTCGCTTTTGTGGTATTTATTTGGATCAGTTGTGCCATGTTAGAGCTGTTAATAAGAATTCATCTCTTGTTTGCTTAGATTAACGATTTTATTTCAACATGTAATCTCAACTCTACATTCCAACTTCACTTAATTCACGTGAAATAACCGGAGCAGTCGAACGGGAAGTTCGAGTCCAACCCAAACAACTCGGCTCGAAACTCCATGCCTCCAATCGGCGAGTTTGTCGTGGAAGCATGTGTCGACATGCTCTCAGAAAAACTCGATTCTGTTGCCAATTCTTGATTTTGATAATCATAATAATTTTCCCCAGAGCCTTGCACTTGACAAGTCGACACAGGAGAAAAGTAACTCGGGCCCAAATAATCTTCTCCAATTAGAGAGCATAAGGATAAATCATAACTTTCCTCGTATTTGTTATTATCTATGTTGTCAAAATTGTCTGTAGCCACTCGGAGATTAGCTTTGATGAAGCTCAAACGCATTTGGTCGTTCTGTTCTAATTCTTCCAGCTGGTTTTGTGAGGTGTGTTGTTTTTGGTCGAACGAGGACTGATTGCACGTGTGGGCCCCTTTGTACGTGATTTCGAACACATTCGGGTCGTTGTCTGACCGTTGGACTTGCTTTGCGGCCCAACAGTTTTGCGCGTGCCGATAAGTGCACCTGTAGTAACTCCTGTGATGTTTTTGCATGGAACGATAATTTTTGTTAGGTTTTCGCAAGTTTTGAGCTAATTGCCAAACTAAAAAAATAGAAAATGACTACAATCCCGTCACATAATGATATTTTGTGGTTATTATTAGCTTTTAGATACACATGTAGATTGGTGTATAAGGTAGATAATTCATGGTTAAAACACAGTGATGGAATCATTTCGTGACGGGAGCGAATGCGAATTATAAATTATAGAAACCTTGGATATTTAGCTCCTAAAATGTCCTTCTGCCCATACTTTCTCCAACCGAACCCATCGTCACTAGGCCCGTCTAGCCCGGTCACCGAGTCGACCCTCACTTGCTCTGTCCACGTAGGCTGAAGCTTTCTGCCATGTCACCAATCAAGAAACAGAATTAGCAACCAAAGAACAATAAAAAATAAGCTGAAAATGCTATTTTACAGCTGATGAAAAAATGTTTCACTTCACCTCTTCTTTGTTGCAGTGAATTCTTGATGATCCCTCCAAGTCTTATTAATCAAATCCTCACTTATCGGGTTTCCGTCAGTAGAAACAGACGAATCGAGCCTGCCCGACACAAGTGTCGGGACTTGGGCCTGCCCGGTTACTGATCCATTCCATTCTAGAATCGACAGGGCCTTCTCATAAGAAGATAATATCCTCTGCACCAGAAAGTCTTGTTCTTCGGGTGGAGAACTGGAGCACAGATGAAAATGGAGCTGCTTAGCTTTTTCCATCCCTTGAGTTAGCTCATTGATTAATGTGCTGTATTCCCAAGGTAAACTTGAACTTTTCTCCATATTTTTCTATCTTTTTTTTACTTCTTTGTTTAGATATGTTATGATTATGTGAGAAGCTATGATGAGCGAAATATATATAGAGAGAGAGAGATGTATATTTGTGGAAGTTCTACTCAAGATATATGTAATACTAGACATTAATTTTAGTTTTTATTTTATTTATTTATTTAGTGGAAGTGTTTGCAGGTGAATTTAGAGCAGCACTGTTGGAGATTATTTGTATAAGGTTTGTAATCTTAAATGCTACTGTCTCGTTACGGAATCATTATGTTGGGGTTTGTGATAGTCGAGGATAGATGTAACAGTCCGGGATAGATAATCTAACGGTTACAAATCCCCACGGAATGGTTTCGTAACGGGACCGTAGCATCTCTCAATCTTTTAACTCTTTAAGAAATGATGATTGGATGAAATAAAATGATGTGGCTGGACTACAAAGTTTGACTGGAGAAAACGTGTATGAGTGGGCCGGTCAGCCAGTGTACTGGGTGAGGTCCAAGTGATGACCGATTCAAATGTTCCAAAAAGTCTACAAATACCTTTGTGATACTGATTAGTGCGTGTGTGTGTGCGTGTGATAAGAGTAACAAATACGGCAAAAAGTGCCACTAAAAAGTATTTCAAGGTTCTTTGGAAAGAATTTGAATTCAATTCTTACATTTTTTTTTTTTTTGGTACA